ATATATATATATATATTATGAATCACTGTTGGCCTGCCTAATGTCCTAGGCCTTCACATTAATCTATCATCCTACCCTCGGGGCTCACTGGGTACACTTGAAATTGCACATGCAATATCTCAACACACTGTATCACCAATACTATGGAACAACGTTATTATCACTCGGCATGGCTAATATACGTGAACAAGACTTACTTGACATAGAAGACTGTAGGCCCTTCCGGCGCTTGTTAAACCCATATTGAGCAGCGCCTCCGGCTGACAACTCAATATTCTGTTTAAAATCAGAATTCCAAGTCTCTTGAATTTCCCTCATTTATAGTCTTAATTCGCTGATTCCGCGTGGACGACAAAGGGGGTAGATAGCTCCTCCCTTGTGTTCTAATTTCCTAACGTTCTATTCTCATTGGATATTCTATGTGGCTGGGGGTGGACCTCTTGCGTCTTATCGCTGTGTATTTACTCATATGACCCTCTCCAGTGGCCTAGTTAGCGGAGCGTCTTGCATACGGTATTACGCATGAATGCTGATTATCGCATTCTTAACCTCATTGCGTGTCCATGTGTTGTCATCTTTGCTCTTTCACTGCAAAACACCTTTCGCAAGTCTCCAGGCACCTAGGTAATGACTTAAATTTTCAATCCCAAATTTGATCCTCAACAGGCCCTGAAAAGGACTGGTAATGCAGGCATGGTAACATGGGGGAGAGAAGTCATAAGTATGTGTGTGTGTGTTGGAATTCAAAACCTTGAAAAAGTTTTATGATTGTACTGAGGCTGTGGAATGCAAGGACACTCTTCTACTAAGGAGATCCATATCTTCTGAGGTTAGCCGACAACTTTACCACAATGTTCAAGACCTCCAAGACTTTACAAGCTCTCAGATCTCCATAAACAAGGGTTTTCCATGAAGCCCATTGAGAGCACCATTGGGGCCCCACCTACTACTTGTGAAAACTTATGGCAAACCAACTTGGCTCTCATATTGTCAGCTTTCTGCATTTGGTGAAGAATGTGGTTGACTTTGTCCGCACATGGGTTCTCTCTGGGCTGAACCCCAGGACGTAATGGCCAGCTTCAGTGTGGTGTCACTGTTCACTAAGGTACAGACTGAGGAAGCCATGAGCCTCCTAAGTTGACATTTTGAGGGAGGTATTCTGAGGCTCTTCCACCATGACCCAACCCAGCTTTTACTTTGGCTTCAGTGGCCAGTTCTGCAAAAATCCCAGTGGGGTGACAAGTTTTTTATTGTCTCCTGTGGTCACCAACTTTCTCATGGAGGTTCTGCTGATTCCATTATGCGGATGACACTTTTATCATCTGGTCCCAAGGGCCTGACAGGCTGAGAGACTTCATCAGCCACCTGAACTGTAGCCACCAGAACATTCAGTTCATCATCGAGGTGGAAAGAGATGACTACCTCCCCTTCCTGAATGTACAGGAGGATTGATGGCTGTCTGGGGCATAATGCATGCTGTAAGCCTACCCACAGATCTCTACCTTAAGTCTGGTTATTATTATCACCTCATACTTTCCACGCTGCTGCAGAGGGCTAGAGCTCTTTGTGACCATGACAGTATTTGTGATAAACTGGAGATTCTGAAGGACGCATGCAGGCACCATGGCTCTCTGAAATGCTGGTTGACCTTCACTGGACTACGTGGTACTATACCCCAGACGATAGAAGTCTTAATATCCTGTGTTCTGGAGAGCATCTTTGTCATCGGGAGTTGACATGATGAGTGACATGACTGTGCATTGCATTGCATTTTTAACCACGAAGTATGCTCTCAGCTATCCCGTTGCTGACCTGTGAGGTAACACGTGACATATGTCCTTTATACTGTGGTTGATTTCAAGAATATCAGCATGGAAGCAGGTTTATTATATCATTAAAAATAATTACTGAATTTTGCTTCAGATTAAATGCATGTGTATTTTCTTCATAGTTACAGTCATATTTTTTAGATGTTGTTTGTGTTAATTAGGTCAGTGATTTGATCTAGTTCAGTAATAATGAGTGCAGTTGAAAGAGATATGGGTTAATCAAGCAGGAGCTGTGACAAAGTCTGGTTATTTAATTGTAGCGTGTCGTCCTTCTCCTTATTACTACTTCCTTCGGACATAAGACAGCTTCCACTATTTCATCCATACCTCCCATAATGCAGAATCCAGCTGCCACATCTAAAAATTAAGAGAGCCTGTTGATTCTGTGTATGAAGACAAAATCCATATCATATTCTAAAGGTAATAAATCAGTTAGCTGTGCTATATGTGTAGACGTGATTTCTGAGGGATACTTGAAAGAAATGTATTATGGCGTAACTTTACCTCTTTCATATTATTATACAGGAGTTCTGATTAACAAGTTCTCTTGAATCAAATAAAGAGATATGAATACAGAGTGGTGCATGGAAAGTGTTCATGGACCGTTTTTGAAAACAGTATCATTAAATAAAATACAATAAAAATTGTTACTCAAAAGAGAGATTTATATTGTTGTCATTTTTGCAGATGAACTAAGTGTAATGAATTGTATTCATTTGTGTCTTGTTGCGATGTGGATTGCAGGTTTGAGACAGGAAAATCCTGTGCGTGAAGCAGTTTGGCAACAGGCAGCAGCTGGTACTTCTGAAGTGCCTGCTGGAATAGATTCAAAAAATAATCGGTCATCATGGCTGGTGCTTGTGTTCATGGGTATTATGTTTAGTGGACCGTATCTCGTGTGGAAACTCATCAGTTCCCTAAGCACATTTCAGTCAGTTAATCGTAAGTAGCGTTATGCCCTTAGCTGTATTTCTGCTCAGCTGAAATAATTGGTTTTGATTTTAAGACTTTTCATTTGTTGTGTTTCTGGGCTGAAGTTTGGACATTTAATATGTATTATTTATTATAAGTGAGTTACATGATGTAACATCCCCTGATTTAACACACATCAATAAAAATAGATTCAAGGTACCTGAACCATTGCTAAGACTTTCTTCAGTACAGTATAGATCTTTGTATTGGTTCTCATATACTGTATAACTAAAGAACCAGAGGTGATGCTGAACTTTTTTATATTGCTAGTGGGGTGGGACAAAGTCCCTTGTACTGTGGCCACTTCTGGCCTATTGTACCAGCCCCAGCTGATAGGTGAGGGTGATTGTGGAGCAATTGGTGGAATGAAGATTGGCAGGGGAAACCGAAGTACTTGGAGAAAATGTGCCCCAGCGCCACTTTGTCCACCATAACTCCCACTTGACCAGATCTGGGATCGAACCTGGGCCACCACGGCGGGAAGCCAACGACTAACCGCTTGAGCTATGGCGCAGCCAGATGCTGAACATAGTTTGTTGTATGGTGTCACCAGACATTGCTGTGTAATGAGTGAACAGTGTTCCTGCTTTGTATTTTTGAGATCCCAGAGAGTAACTAGGCTTTCTGAGATTTTTCTTCATCAGATAATGCCATAGTAACTTAGATCATGAGTGCTTTGTTGCACATCTTTTATGACTCATCATACCTAAGTTTGATTTGTTACACCTTCGTAACATCGTGCCTAATTATCCTGGAATTGTGGACAGGCACAGGGCGTTGCTATATAAACAGGAAACAGTAGTGTTGATAACATTATGGAAGCTGCTTCCATTGTGAATTTATGATGAATTCTCGATGGTCAAACACAGATCACTTGCATTCACTCTCCCATCTCTTGAAGTATTTCTTCAGAATCAGAACATTTCTGTTCCATTAAAAATACTCTGAGCTGTTCTAGTTCTTACTTGATTCTGTTGTGTGAATGATTTCATTATGTATTATTTTGAAAGAACAAAAATAATGATTACCATCAGCCTTGCGGACTTAGTTCTGATTTTAAAAAAACACTATGTACTGATTCAGTAGTTCTATATTGTACACTGTTTAAAGACTTACTGATGGTACAGGCCAAATGTTAATTTATTGTGTTGTAAAATTTTGTTTCTTTGTCTTTGTATGAAGAGGTATCAGGTAAACAAACTAGGATGCTAAATGGCTGCTATGTGACTGTTTATTTCACTACAGTATGCCGACTCACAGAGCGCAGCACTACTTACTCCCAATCAATCATACAACATAACACAATTTGAATCTAAATTTCATCCTGTTAACACCAAATTAAATTTATAATTTATGGGTTCATGAAATATGACACTCAAGTTTAGACTCGTCTTAAGGCATGTCCCAGTATTTTACTGCAGAAAAGAACTAAGAACACCAGTCTTTGGGTTTTATAGGAGAGAAGTACAAATGAAAATACAAATTCATCAGTTGGTAATAAATTTGAATACATCTTTGTTATCCATACTACATCCTTCATTCCCAAGTAAAGAAACCCCACCAGTTTCAGACTGTCAACAGAATATGAAAGAGCAAATGTAAGGAATCAAATTTGTACTAGAATGTAATTCATTTTACTGTCACAACTTTAGTAGCTAAGATTTTAATCTAAATATAGTGCCTGCTTAATCTTGTAACTGATGATGGAAGGGAGAGCTTTTGTGTGCCCAATTATGCTGATCTTTTGTATCTATAATGTCTGTCTCTGTGTGTGTTAAAGTAAACAGGGCATTCTGAACAGAACTTGTAAAGCATACTTTCAGGTTGTATGGATTTAGATTTGTACACTGAACTTGTGTGAGCCAGAATAGCTCAGTCAGTGTAGTGAGTAGGCTATGGGCAGGATGGCCAAGGAGTTGGGGGTATTGATTCCTGGTAAGGGACAGAAATTTTTCTGTTCTTAATAATGTCCAGATCAGCTCTGTGGTCCACCCAGCCTCCTATACAGTGAGTGCTGGAGGCTGTTTCCTGCAGAAGTAAAGCAGCAGGGGTGCAAAGCTGACCACACCCATCTAGTGCAGAGGTTCAGAATGGTGGGGTTTTCCCAGGTACTTCAGTTTTGCTTTCAGTTTTCATTCCATCTACCACCCAATTTTCATTAATTATTTTAGCATCATTACATAGTCCTGATACTTCAGTATCGTTAATTAACCGACTTAGGAAACAAGTTCCAGTGGTTCGGTAATGATCACCTTCAAACTGAAAGCTAAATAAAATTTCTCAATGGCTGCTTTGTTTTTATACATAAATAAGGTGAAGTTGCTCCTGTGCTTAATTAAACATCATGTTATGATGGTGTATCAGGGAGTGCAGGTATAGCTTAGCCATTCTTAACCTCAGCGCTGAATGGAAGTAAGTGATCAGCTTCGTGCTCCTGCCCTGCCACCTTACCTCTTGGTGAAAGAGACCCCACTATCTACTGCAGAGGAGACTGGGCTGGAGCGCCGGTTGAGGTGCTGTGAAGATTAGAAAAATCCATATCATGAATAAACTCCGATTCCCCAGTCATCTAGCCTGTAGCCTAGGCACTATACTGACTGAGCCATCTGCCACAAAGTACCATGACAAAAGTTGCATAGTGTTCCAGGATCTATTACCATACATAATTTCAGGAGTGAAATTAAATGTTGTTGTCACAGCCACCCTACAGGTTTACACATCAACTGTGTTGTTGCTGAATGTAGGAAATAAAAATCATGACATTGAGATCACCCCAGTGGCATAATTTTCATACATTGTTTTGTGGAAGTCTGTCATTTCATTCCAAAATTAAAAATGGGGCACAAGACATACCCATAGTAATGATATTGTAGGCCTACTTTCTTTCCCGAAAGAAAGCTAAGAAGTCACTGGACGCAGAGTTTTGCACTTTATTATATTCCTGTCTGCAGTCTTTGTCATATATAGATTTTAAAAATCATCTCTTGCATTGAAGATTGCTGTTGGTTGGGATGTGATGCCATGTAATCTGGTTGTCACGTCTATAAGACAGCTATCTTCATGGTCACTGCCATGAGAAACTAAAATCTCATCTCTTGCATTTCTTCACCAGTGTCGATTTACATCAGAGGTGAGATTCCATGTAACAATTCTTTAACATGATTTTACTTCTTTTTTTTCCATTTTTTTGTATAAGTTGTATATGATTTTACTTTGCACTTCTTTATTTACAGTATGCATATAATGAAAAATTTACTAGATAAAATGTTATGTAATTTTTCAAATAAGAAAATTGTAATTATGTTAACAGCATATAACCCAAAGGAATGGAAGGAAAGCAAGGATGTCAGCTATCCAGCAGTTGCTATGTATGACTTCATGGCTGCCTCAGAAAAGGAACTCAGCTTTAATGCAGGACAGACTATGATTCTGGCACCCAAAGAACTACAACCTAGGGATGTAAGGGGTTGGCTACTAGCTACTGTTGATGGCAACAGAGTTGGATATGTTCCATACAATTACATCAGAGTCTTACCTGCCACAAGACAGGTAGCTGGTCAGAGTACTCGAAGCATCCCAGTTCCTGTAGAGAATTCAAGGGTTGATTCATATCAAGGTAGAGTGTAGTCCTAATTTCATTTTTCATGAAGTTAATTCATAAGTAGAAGGCCATGCCCATCCATTTTGGTGACAGAGTGTTGTCTAATCGTTTTCCTGAATGGTCTGGACATGGGTTGGCCTGGCCACCATGCCCTCCAGGCTGTTTCTTACAGGGCTTTCTGAAAGATATGGAAAAAGAAAAGCAGTCTGCACACAATTTAAGGACTGAAACAAGAACTTTCATCAGCAGTAATGAGCATCAGCGAAGAAACTCAGCCATTATGCAAAATTTGTGACATTGGCTATAGATGGTTATGGAGGGCGATGGTTCAAAGGCCCTGTAAATACCATAAAAGGGGCTAAATACAGCCATGTTATTGAAATTTCTTATTTTATATTTAATAGGCAATATAATTTTTTTTAAGGGAACATATTCAAAATTCAAGTGGATTAAATGTTCAGAGGCACTTAATTATATAATATAAATCATACACACTAATTTCATTGCACTGGTTGATCAAAGTGTAATGTTCAGGACAAGTACACCTGACACAATGGTATGATTTACTGACTTAGAAAAAATATAAACATGCAGTTCTGGTCAGAGTTAAGTGCAGATTTTGTCTCCTTTTAGAATTGTCATGTTCTGTACTGTTTGCATTTATTGATTTGTAAACAGTATTTCATTATATAATGAGCATGGATAGCACAGTCAATGTAGTGATGGGCTATGGGCCAAATGGCTGGGGTTCGATTCCTGGCAGGGGCAAGAAATTTTTATATTCTCCACAGTGTCCAGACCAGCTGTGGGGCCTGCCCAGTTGATACCAGTGGCTCTTTCCCTGTGGGTAAAGTGGCCAGGGCATGAAGTTGACCATTGAACTCCATTCTGCTGAGGTCAAGAATGGTGGAGTTACACCTCCACTCCCCCACACATCTTAATGGTGTGGTGCTTAATTAATTAAGCATAGGGCAGCTTTACTTTTACCTTCATTTCATTCATGATAGCTCACCAATGTTCCATTAATTATTGCTAACTAAATGATAAGTGAAAATGTTTGGCATGGTAATCATTTCTCTTGCACTACAAAAATGAAATTATCTTAACAAAAGTTTCATATTTTTCAATGATCTGTTACTACATATCATTTTAGGACCCTATATTAAGCTGTCATTCCTAGCTCACAAGTTCATGCTTTCACCATGTTATGTTACTGTTGTAGGAAAAAGTATGAGGTGGGGTGGCCTGAAGTGTCTTAACAATCATATCAGATTTCATGAAAATTTATTTTCTCTCAGATCTGAATTATGTGAAAGTTCATGAATCAGGGAATGCAGTGCAACAGTTAATAGTTTTCAGTTAATATAAAGGGTGTTGAATTACTTATCTTTGAATGAGTTAATAAAACTAAATAATCACAAATGAAATACCTGTGTACACAATTCATACTTGATTTTATAAAGGAAAACGTATTTTCAGCACCAGCTACAGCTGCTCCAATGGAAACATTGACTACCTCATGTCCAGATCACGTTCCCCAGGATGTGTTGACCTCCTCAGTGCAAGCGGCATGGGCTCCCCCAAGAGACCAGCCCACTCCAGTGGTGATTGTGAACCCTACAGACACATGTAATTCTCACAAGGCAACATAAGAAAGAACACTTCTTGTATTACAGTTAGAAAGGAATAATTTCTTTTTTACCAGTTAAGTGATTAAGCAGTTACCTTCTTCCAGTTCCTTTCTGTTTCCATATTAGGTTAGAGTTTGTTGCATATGTATCTGTAAAAAATACTATACATGTTTAATAATTAACATATTCTGATTCTTAAGCACTACTTGTCCAGAAAGTGTGTAGGGAAGTATAATTTACAAGTGCTGATCTATACAGTTCAGTAAACCTTCTTGAGTCACGGGGCAATTGAATAATTTGGAAACATGACATAGGTTTGGATTTTCTTATATAAAATTCTTCTTCCAAGGCTCAGATTATGTACTGATAATTAGAATATGTTCGTTGGAGTAGCTTTGAGAAAGGATTAAAGCTCTTCATTTTGAAGCCAGTCTTTCCTTGTAATTTGTGGTGGTTCTGCAGTCTAATGTATCAGATAATATGGGGCATGAAAATTTCATGAATCTGGCATTGAAAATGTTTAATTATATCGTAGACCATGTTTGAAATGATGCAGAGTAGCTACAGCTTGCAGATCATTCCCTACTATACCCATGGATTGCATGATAGGCATTTCAGAGCTATTTGAAAGTAGGAATTAAAAATTAAATATACTCCATTTTTTCCCTCTTTTAGCTAGTAATTGTAAACATGTTTAAAATAGTTTAAAATTTAAATATTATTAGGAGTAACATATCTCTCAAGAGAACTGGATCAGGAACAAGCAATTCAAAGTTCCATTACAGCTTCATCTGCCTAGAACATAACCCATCAGGATTTCCTATGCAATAGATTAACAAAGTAAAAACTGTCATGAAGATATCTAATTAATGAAATGAGAAAAATTTACGACTGTTATAACTTGCTGGTGGATTATGTGCAGTTCACATGACTATATGTGTGAGAGAGTACAATATTAGTGAGATAAGAATTCAGTAAATTAATGTAAAGTACTTTGTGTTTGCATCTTGAAGGCAGATAGTACAGCACACAGGAATCTTGGGTATATAAATCTTCACACAGGCAACATGGTATTTTAATGTACTGTCTTCAGAAGACTAATATTATTGTTATTTGTAGGATATGGAACTAGGGATTTTTATAAGTGTAATTACTGTGTTCGTATGAATTTATGTTAAATATATTAAAGTGGGATTCCAACAGTTACATCATTTTAGTGTGTGATTATTCAATTGTTCTCCATCCCTTATATTTCTCCAGGGTATCTTAGTCTCACCACTAAGCTGCCTTCATACTGTACTACTGCATCTCATTTTTTTAAATCAATACTAAATTTTAAAATGAACACTTATAGTGCAAATCTTTATCAACTAACACTCAGTTTGGCTGTGCCCATTTTTTTTTTTAATGCTAGAGGGGTGGGACTAAGTCCCTTGTACTGCGGCCTCTTCTGGCCTATTGTACCAGCCTCAAATGACAGCTTAAGGTGATTGTGGAGCAGTTGGTGGAATGAAGATTGGCAGGGGAAACCGAAATACGCGGAGAAAACCTGCCCCAGCGCCACTCTGTCCACCACAAATCCCACTTGACCAGACCCGGGATGGAACCTGGGCCGCCGTGGTGGGAAGCCAGCGGCTAACTGCTTGAGCTATGGCACGGCCTGGCTGTACTCATACTTACATCAGTTTGGCAACCACTCATTGCAGAACAGTTTCACAAGTCAGCAGCTACTTGTCTGATTCTTGATCTGAAATTCTTCCATCTTCAAAGCCATTAATTGAACAGGTTTGAGTTGGACAGGGTTGGGTCTTAGCAGAGGTCTGGCACAGATGAACCACCGAGTTTGTGGTCTGTGGATCACGCTGATAAATTGTTGGCAATTTCCAAATTTTTATGATTATTTCCTGGTGAGTCAGTGGGTTCATATCCTAAACTAGTAAGTGCTGTGTCTATGATATGACCTGGTTACTAGTCACATAAATCCAGTGGCTTTTGTAAGCTGAGTTAATGCAGTAGTTTATTCTGTAAATTTTACTTCAGTTTAGTTTCAGTCACCAACAGCCTGACTGTTATCTTCAGGGTTCGTGACCTAAGACTGAAGTCTACATTCTAGCTACATTAGTAAGTTTGAATTTTGGAAGTGGTGTTTTCTATGCGATTCAATCAAAGGCTGTATGAGGAGAAACAGCTGGAGTTCTTGCTTCAGTTGAGAGTTCGAGGGAGTTACCGCCATGAGTCAGCTATAAGAGTCGCCAACCAGTGAGAACAGGAGCTGCTGAACTCGAAGTTGAGTCGTACCCCGGCAACAGCTAGTGAAGACTAACTGAGAAGAATTAGTGTGTTATAGTGATTTCTAAAGGGTGCGGATATTGATAGTGTTATAATTATTTGTAGTAATGAGTTGTCAGTCACTAAATCATAACAGTATTATATTTCTTGGTATAACAAAAATAAAATTATTTTTCATCTTTAATGTGATTATCTTGGTTATTGTGTTCCATTCTGTCCATGTTTAGGACCTTCGTTATTTCACTCTTTATAAGCGTGATTTATCGTTGCCTCCGAATTGTCATTCTACCAATCACTATTTTTCAATTTAGGGTGTTGTGTTTTGCTGAATAACAGTCTGTGTGCAAGATGTGGATATCATCTATACCCGTCAACTTTGTGGAGGTTTAGTGTGAGATACAGTTGAAGTATATTGAATGACAAGAACAAGATCCTAGAATAATTATAGAATAAGTTACATTTGAATATTGTATATGCAGTGATCAAGTTATGTTGTAGCCTAACCAATTCATGACAAGTCTTCTCTTTTACATCTGGATAAAATTTCATTCATGTCTTCAAATTAGCTTTCTCTTCATTCAGCTAGAGCTTGTTTACCGTATCACAACCATGACCTTGAAGTTCCCAACTCCCAGTGAGGTTAACTGAGGAAGGGCAGCTTCAACTTTTTCAGACAGGGTAGGTACTATGAAGTGCTATCGGAAAGTTCCCAGACTGTTGTTCTTGTAACTGCCTCGGTGAAAGAAGATGAGAGGGGAGGCCAAGGTCACACTTCCACAAGCATATTGCATCAGTCTGCCACATGATGCCATGCTGTGAACTCACATTGCTTTTACATGAGTGCTTTTTTTGACTTCTTGTTTCGTTTTGTCTGTAGTGGATGGCAAAATGGAGCAACGTGTCTGCAACAAGTGCGTGATGCGTGGTAAATCTGCTACTGAAACTGTTGAAATGCTTCGTGACGCTTTTGAAGAACATTCTTTAAGCTGGACAGTGGTTTCTGAATGGCATTTATGTTTCAAGGCTGCTCGAGTGTCAGTTGAAGGTGATACGTTCAGGGCGACCAAGCACCAGCAAAATGACAGGAAATGTTGAAAGAAATTGGACATTACTCTCTTCTGTCTTGTATTCGGCAGGTGCCACTCGATCTGTTTTGTGTTTGACACAGTAATTGGGACATAAGATTCAACCGAATACTTGATAGATGGGCGGACATGTGATACTATGAAATGAGGTTTACTTAGACTGCACTATTTACTATGGATTAAATATATTTTAGACTTAAGTTAAAAGTATTTTAAATCAGTTTTCTTGTGTATCAATCAACTCTTCTTAATGTTCTCTGAGAAAGTGAAAACATAAAGAGTGTAAGGGCACAACAGAAAACTTTAAACAAAAGAGAGCACGGTACACTTGTCCTAATTGTTGTATTTGGCGGTATTAGTATCATTGACATTCACCTTCGAATTCCATCAACTTTCCATACATCTTTAGATATTTATGGTTTCAATGGGAGGACAAAATCAGTATTTTATTGGATGTCTTCAAGTTTTATGAATAGTTTATATCATGTCCACTGTTCCCCATTCTTTCTTATTTACTGTGTCAGAGGGTTGTAGTAGAGAGGGTTAAGTTTGCTGTACTATAACGGTGGGTTCATGGGGGCGGGGGGTTGAAGTCTGTTAATACTGAACACTCGATATGAGTGGACGTCAACAAACGCTATATAGTCTCTATACTGACAGCGTCGTTAAATAGCCAAGTAAAACTACTGGACGTCAAGTAGAACATCTCAAAAACATGGGACAAATTTTGATGTAGAAAATTAAAAATTCGCTTAGTGGGGGTTGGAGTCCAACCGGGTTCACTCGGCACGGCTGCCAATGATTGGCCTATTGTAGCCTGCCCCGGGTGATTATGATGAATAATTTTGTGGAATGAAGATTGGCAGGGAAAACCGAAGTAATCGGAGAAAACCCGCCCCAGCGCCACTTTATCCGCCACAAATCCCACTTGACTAGACCCGGTATCGAACCCGGGCCGCCGCGGTGGAAAGCCAGCGACTAACCGCTAACTAACTAAATTTTGATGTAAGTATGCACACTACTTCCGCAAAAAAAAAATTACGAAACAGAACAGTAAGCGATAAAAATGACCAAAATAAAGCAAACGAAAAATAAATGTAAGCGAAAGACAGAATAACATGCAAGAAAAGTTGTACTATTCATGGTATGGTTGAAAATATATTTAATTTGTTGTATGTGAAATTTAGAATTTAATTTATTGTCTTCACAAGGAATGATACTTTCTAAATTCAGCATGTGATCAGTACATCCACTGAAGTGTCACATAGAGAAATTGTTCTTTTACCAACTGATGGAATTATAAGTTAAGTGCTGGAGTGCCTTTCAAAGTCTGCCTAATTAAAATTATACACAGATATTTTGTATAATAGTTTCACAAGATAACGACAGAGATGAGTGTTAGTACGGATTATTTCACTTTGGCAATCAGACTGCAGTTTTTGGCGGTAATAAGAGTGGTGAGGCCAAGGGGAGGGAGAGAACGCTATGTGTATCGGAGGTTGCATATTTCTACAGTTCCCCACACGGGTGTCCTGTTTCAGCTTCTGTTTTCTGCATTGTGGATCACATCTGGGCACTTAACGGTGGATGTTTTGAACGTCTCCAATAAGAGTAGATCAACGGTACTTTTATACTACCATTTTTGCTTTCTGCTCTTGACGTACTATAAATAAAATATTTAAACAAAAAATATAACATTATTCTGGAACCACTGTATATTACATGCCCACATGTTAACGAAACTGTATTATTTTTCATTTGATGGCATGCATGCATAATTCATAGGCTAACGCAGGATAATTTCTGTGACTTTTGATAAACGATGTGTATTTTTTTTATGCTTCTGGTATACTGTAAAAATTAACAATTTACTTGGTTCTTACAATTTACTCATGTCTAATATTTTTGACTACCCATTACTCAGGAGGTTGCGGTAGCAGCATACGCTACGCCGTTTGATTTTCAGGTGAAGTTACGAGTGCTTACTGGTTATCCTAACCTGTTTTCACCTCTTCACGTCTTCTTCGCTTCGTCTCGGAAGTTATCTGTAAATTCTTCAAAGAGGTCTAAGAGAAGTGGGTTTAGTGTAAGGAATAAATTTGTTTGTGGCTAATTTTAAGAAATAATTTTATGAAATTCTTCGCTCAACATTCCACGTTTCTAGCGGAATTTGATATTGTGTTTAATTATTCATTATATGAGCGGTGATAAGTAACACACTGTCAAATACACCTAATGTTGCTTTCCAAATGTAAACTGCGTTATACTCTACCGGACTGATTCATTCATGGTTAGCAGACTCAGATACTCAATTCATTTTCTTTTATATCCGACTGCATATTCCTACACTGAAACTATGATCTGACACGAAATCTCTTTACGGCTAAACTACTTCATCGTCTCGAATCATTCCACATTCTCGTCCTGCAATCCTAATTAAAACTGCAGTAGGCGCCAGCAGCACGGTGAACGAGCGAAGAAGGGTGATGCGACCCTGATACCACCTGTAAGTAAGGCAAGGGAAAGTGAAGGTAACGGTTGCGTTACAGGACTAGAATGTCGTGCAATGCTTGTGCTTCCATTTCTGAAGGCCGCGCCATAGCTCAAGCGGTTATTCGCTGGCTTCCCATCGTGGCGGCCCGGGTTCGATCCCGGGTCTGGTCAAGTGGGATTTGTGGGAAAAAAAGTGGCGCTGGGGCAGGTTTTCTTCGAGTACTTCGGTTTCCCCTGCCAATCCTCATTCCACCAATTGCTCCACAATCACAGTCACCTATCATTTGGGGCTGGTACAATAGGCCAGAAGTGGCCGCAGTACAAGGGACTTAGTCCCACCCCAC